GACCACCATGTGTACTTGGAAGGCACCTTGCTGAAGCCCAATATGGTAACACCAGGCCATGCCTGCACACAGAAGTTTTCTCATGAGGAGATTGCCATGGCAACTGTCACAGCACTGCGCCGCACAGTGCCCCCTGCTGTTACTGGTGAGGCCTGCATCCTTGTCTTGGCCATTGAGAGATGGATGAATTGTACCCACAGTCCTTATGCCCACCTGGTCTGATTTCCAGAGCAGCTTCTAGGGGCTCCTACCAACTCCCCTTAGTGTCTGACTGCAGCCCCATGTGTCCATCTCATTTACTGTTCTGCAGGGGTCACCTTCCTATCTGGGGGTCAGAGTGAGGAGGAGGCATCCATCAACCTCAATGCTATCAACAAGTGCCCCCTGCTGAAGCCATGGGCCCTGACCTTCTCCTATGGCCGAGCCTTGCAGGCCTCTGCCCTGAAGGCCTGGGGGGGGAAGAAGGAGAACCTGAAGGCTGCCCAGGAGGAGTACGTCAAGCGAGCCCTGGTAAGGCTTTATGGTGGGCAGGAGGTGGGCAGGGTGCCTCCTGGGATATGGGGTTTGGACGAGAGCTCTTCTCACTCTGGCTCCAATCCCATTTAGGCCAACAGCCTTGCCTGCCAAGGAAAGTACACTCCAAGCGGTCAAGGTGGGGCTGCAGCCAGTGAGTCCCTCTTCATCTCTAACCATGCCTACTAAGTGGAGGTGTCCTAAGGCTGCCCCCGCCTCAACACTCCAGGCCACAGCCCTTCCCATGCCCACTCTTGAGGGGAGGAGCTCCTCGGGGCCTCCAGGCCACTCTTTCCTATCACTCTTGCCATTCTTGTGATGTTGGTGTGAGGTGGTGTCTGTATATGCGAACTCCATCACCCTTTCCAGCCCACTGCCAATAAACAGCTATTGAAGGGGGAGTCTGTTGTCTGTCTTGTGTGAAGCAGGGTCGGGGGCTTGGGGAGGTGGCAGAGTCCAGAAGAACAGAAAGAACCTGTATGTTCTTCCTGGACAAGAAGAGGGTAGGGAAAGATCTTCCTGCTGTTTTATATTTGCCCAGGGCTCAGAGCTTGCTATATACTCTTTTCAACCACTGCATACTCCACCCAGTCCACCAGCAGCATCTGATATGGATGAGTTGTGAAATACAAGTATACTGTGTTTGCTATTGAGTTGATTCTAACTCATAGAGACCCTTACTGAGTTTCTAATGAGTGGCTGGTGGGTTTGAACTGTCGATCTTGCAGTTGCCAGTCCAGTGCTTATCCTGTAGCACCATAACAGGACTAGGTTCAAGTCATGTTGTTCGTTGTTAGATGCCATCAAGTAGTTTCTGATCCATTGCGACCCTGTATGGGGTTCCCAAGAGAGTAGCTGGTGAGCTTGAACCACCAACCCTGTGGCTCAAACTGACTTGAAGTCTAGCGAATTAACTCACAGGTGTGGTGCTGTGGGCTAATGCATCAGACTGCAGAGTCGTTTGAACTGCAAGGTTGGTGGTTCAAGCTTATCAGCTGCTCCTTGGAAACCTTATACAGGGTCGCTATGGGTAGGAATCAACTCGATGGCGCTCAACAACACACGGTTGGTGGTAGTGGTGTGCTGTGGAGTCAGTTCCAACTCAGCGAACCTGTACAGGGTTTCCGAGGCTGTAAATCTTTACGGGAGCAGAAAGCCTCATCTTTCTTCCAAGGAAAGCTGGTAGTTTGGAACTACTGACCTTGAAGTTAGCAGCCCAACTAGGGTACCAGAGCTCCTTACACCATAACATTAGAGGTGAGGTAATTAAATGTTTGTTGTTGTTGTTAAGTGCCGTTGAGTTGGTTCCGACCCATAGCGACCCTGTACAGGGTTTCCGAGGGTGTAAATCTTTACGGGAGTAGAAAGCCTGATCTTTCTCCCGTGAAGCAGCTGGTAGTTTCGAACCGCTGACCTTAAGGTTTGCAGCCCGATTCGTAAATGTAGCAGGCTAATTTTTAAGTTGATAATTTTTATGGCCCTTGAATGATACGGAGTCCTGGTGTGGCACTGTGGGTTAATGCCCTGGCACTTAACATGAATGATACAAATTTTGACAGAAAAACGATTACCCACCCCTGATCTGGAGTCGTGCTGTGGCACTCTGGGATGAGCACTGGCGGTTCAAATCCATCAACCCCTTCTTGGAAACCCTGTGTTAAGTGCCATAGAGTCAGATCTAACCCATAGGGACCCTGTATAGGGTTTCCGAGGAGCAGCTGGTGATGAGCTTGAACCACTGACCTTGCGGTTCAAACGGCTTTACAGTCTGGCACATTAACCCACAGCACCACACCAACCCGTATTAGTGTCACTATTATGTCTGAACCAACTTGAGGCTACTTTACACTAAATTCGACAGCTGGTCTGAGGGAAAAAGCTGAGGATTTCTGCTCCCATCAAGGTTTATATTCTCAGAAACCCTATACAGGGTCATTATGAATCAGAACTGACAGAACCAACTTGACGGCACCTAACAGTGTCCCCTTAATCTACACTATTGAGCTTCTGGTTCCCCATTTTACAGGCGATGGGATTTGAATCACTAGTTTTGGGACTGTGGAACTACACAGATGCACAGTTGTGGAGGTTACAGATTAAGAACTGAGTATGAAGTCAGAGAGGGTCCTTGAACCCTTATTCATTCAGATGGGCTGTAAAAGTAACCACCAGGCCATTTTAAGCTGTCAAAGATTCTAGCCACAACCAGGGACCTGGTGGGACTTGTACAAGTTTTCTGCAACCTTCCTTACCCTCAGCCTTACCTATCTTGAGTTTCCCTGGTGAAAACAGCCTTGGCCTTTTTCATCTCTAAAGAATCCTTGCAATAGTGCTGATAGAACTGATTTACCTTAGAACCTCCTGTTGTGAAGTGTGCCACACCAGAACCTCCAAGGAGTTTAAAAGTCACCTCTGCATGTTTGTATCTGTTGCCACACCCTTAAACCAAATTCAACCCTTGTGGCCCTCCAAACTTTGGCCTCACTTCTGCACGTTGTTAAGTGCTATGCAGTTGTTTCCATCTCATAGGGACCCTATGGAGTTTCCAAGAAGCAGTGAGTTTGAACCACTGACCTTATGTTTTAAACTGAACTTGTGGTCCAGTGCTTTATCCCACAGTGCCACCTCACTCAGTTCTGGGAAACATCTGAAATAAAACAAGAATTGAGAATCAGTAGATAATGATGAGCAGAACATAAAAGGCTCGGAGGCTTTTTTTTTTTTTTAAAAAAAAAAAGGTGGAGATTATGCTTGAAGATCAACAGCTTTGTTGTTAAATGCCTTCAAATAGGTTACGACTCTATGTTCATACCCAGGAGCAGCTGGTGGGTATGAACTTCCAGCTTTTCGGTTCAATTTTGCTTAAAAACCAACAGCTTTTCTCTTTCTGTAGCAAAAGAATTTGGAGGCTGTCTAGATTTTGTTGTTGTTGTCAGGTGCCATCGAGTCGGAACTGACTCAGCGACCCCATGCACAGCAGAACGAAACAATGTCCGATCCTGAGCCAATCTCACTACCGCCGCCACACTTGACGCCATCAATGATGCCACCTGGCTGATCCATCT